TAGCAAACGAGCTCTTAACCACTACGCCACCAGGGCTCCAGTATAATATATATGTTATATATTATATATAAAATATATTGTATTATATGTATAATATAAACCAAAAAAACAAAACAAAACAAACCCACTGCTGTCGAGTCGATTCTGACTCATAGTGATCCTATAGGACAGAGCAGAACTGCCTCACAGGGTTTTCAAGAAGTGGCTGGTGGATTCAAACTGTTGCCTTATGGTTAGCAGCCAAGCTGTTAACCACTGGGCCACCAGGGCTCTCATAGACGGCACCTAACTACAACAACGTTATATATACATACACTTACAGGGCCATGCAGAACTCAACATCAGAGCCTACACTGGGAAGGGTATGACAGCCAGGAGAACAAAAAAAAAACACACTGTTTAATTTCTACAATGACTCAAACCAGAAAATGCATCACAGAAACTATATGCATCACATCTGAGTCTGGGACACAACCTCTAGCTCTCATTCCATTATCAAGGTTTTACACATCAGATTCCAAGACAGGTTTTCCCTTTGTTTCCCTAAAGGACAGCATTTACAGAGAGTACTCTCTTTCAAGTAGAGGCCACACAAGAAGAGATTACACCACAAAAATTTTGGTGTGGACCTTAATGACTGACCATTAATTGCTCACATCTGGAATCGGGTGTGCTACTTAGATCAAATATGTTACTGATGATCAATCGTCAAAAATTATAGTACAGTAAAATATACTTAAATACAAAAGCATACTGAACATAAAAATCCAATCTTTAATGTTTCAAATAGCACTTCAATTTTTTGCCATCTTTATAGATACTATGCACTGGAACAGACAAAGAAGTGAGGCTCAGACAGGTTAATCTAATTGTCCAAGAAAGCTGAAAATGGTCCATCTCAGGTCTCCTGACTTCAGTGTCCTTTCTATTCCATTATACTCCATTATTACAAAGTGGTATAACACTTTTACTACAATATGATACACATTTTTCACATGCCTATATTGATCTGAAAGGGCAAAAAATGGCATTGGAAAGAGAATTAGAATAGAAGCAAGAAAGCTGGGCTCTCCTACACATAAATGTTTGAACTTAGGTCACTGATTCCCTTTAGTGCTCAATTTCCTTACCTGTAACTTGAAGGCCAAATAATGGCCTTTAAGATCCCTTTCAATTTTCTGATTCAATGGAAAAGGGGAGCTATTTCTCTTAATTTGAGATTTTGCCAGCTTAATCATGGTATTTAGGAAAATAAATTTATCAGGTATTGCTCTAAAACACAAATTTCTTCCTAGGTTTATAAAACTTTATAATGGCATATTTTTCCAAAATTTTAATGTTCATCTATAGAACGGCTATAAAGAAGCTTTAGAATATCATCCCCACTTTATAGATGTAAAAATGACGAGAAATAATTAACAAGAAAATATGCTTGTAAAACAAAAATAACTTCACAAAGAGAAATTTTAATTAATCATGTCTAACTTCAGTGAAGAAAAATTAAGACCGAAATATTGAGGATACTTTTTTCCCAAGTAACCCTAACTCTGTCTTCATGTATCTGTAAGTATACTATGATTTTCTTAACAAAGAAATATTAAAACTATGATTAAATTCACTCCGAGTAAGAGCAAGTTTGATCATCTTTTTTCTAAGAAGTCTTTTTTTTTACATTGCAATATTAAAATATCAAGTTTAATATATGAACAAATGATTTAGGTTTGAAATGGTCACGACTTCTTATGATTAAATCTATTTTTTTTAAGTTATTTCCTGTTCACATTTTCTATAAAGCCCATGTGATATACTTGGTTCTAGTTTTTAAACCTATTCCATTCAACAATTTATAGGTATAGTCAAATTAAAATGAATATGTATACGTAAATAAGGAAAACAATTCCTATCCCTTTTACATAGTCTAGTCAGAATAAAAAAAGGCAGGAATCTATCATTTTCAAGTATACCATTACTAAATTGATAATTAAATCCTGAAGGTTATTGCTGTTCATGAATATTTTTATGCCTTTGGTATAAATGAGATCTTTAGAGAAATCATCCCTCGAAAGATATTGTAATAGATTTTTAAATATCTTTTTGGTTCAAGTTAATTATACCTCTACAATATTCTTCAAATTAACTAATAGCAAGCAATGAATTTTAAAGAGATCTTTTCCAATGGCCTAATGAGGTACAGTGTATGATGAGTACCATAATAAAAAGCATGGATGCTATATTTTGAGGGGTGGTAATAATAATTAAAATTTATATTTAGAATGTCTCCAAAATGGCACAAGACTTAGACTATATCAAGATATCAAGTAGGTGGTATTTTAAAAGATTTCAGCTGTTATAATTCCTTCACAGGAAAAAAAAAAAAAGGAAAGGAAACTAGGCATTTCAGCTGAACCTTGGCTGGTTGCAGAAGTATCAGAATTAAAAAGAAAAAATATATGTATCAGCCAGGATAAAAAAATAACAATGTGAGACAAACTCAGCAATAATACATATTAGTTTCTTCCCTGGACTCTTCTTATGAGAACTAAAAGAGATCATGTTCTGCAGATCTGTAAATAACCTTGTGCATATACCCAATGACAGTGTACTGAAAAATTAACAGATCTGCAAAGCATCCTAATTAAGTATTACAATCTTAGCCATGTTGTGGGAGGGCGGGATGGCAATGAGAGGAGGGTTAGGAATATATTAAGGGAAGAAAATCAAGCTCCCAGACTTAGCTCTTTACCTAACTAACCAGCTGACTTCGGCCAAGTTACTTCTCAAGTCTTAATATCCTCATTTGTAAAATGAGGATAAAAATAATGTTACTTTAAAGGCTTGTGAGTCTCAAATGAGTCAGTGTTACAAATGAAAGACATGAAACACTTTAACCTGCTTTTAATAACTTAAAGTTTAAAAATATTTTTAGGCTAAAGTGATCTATGCTTTCTCTTGCAAATAATTAGATATTCATCCAAAACGTCTCAAAAAAATTCAACTGTCAAGAATATGTGATCATGCAAATCAAATTTATACTTTATATAATTCACCAATGGCTTTGCCTTAATATCTGATGAGATCAAATCTACATCACTACTGGCAACGAAAAATTACAAAAACATTGATCTGGCTGTTACAATTAAAATGTGGAATTTTTTTACGTATGTTTATAACAATTGATCGTTTTCTTCATGCCTTTATGGAGAAATAATTTTCATTGGTATTAGTTGGTTTATTTTGAAAAAAAGAAGAGACAACATATAAAAGAGTCAAGAGTCACCAATCTCTTCTTTTTTACCTAATTTTTATCTGGTGTCAGTTTTTTACTAGTCATCATTGAAGTGAAGGACTTCACAATAAAATTGTATATAGTTAGAACGACAATGAAAAGGAATCTGTCTTCAAGATTTATGTATTTATATAGTTTTCAAATGACATATGAAGAAGAATTTACTTGGTATTGGGTATCCCAAAAAAGCCTCCACATTTCCAGTGTGACATATTTATATCAAACTTCTAGAAGACACTGCTAGGATTTAAAGCACAGTGACACATTACACTGTGAAGTTTGCACATGGCACAGCTTCGGGGTGGGGATGTGCCATTCTTATTATCACCTATGTAAACAGCATCTCCTGGAGTTATATACAACTGCACAAGCTATGCAGCTGTT